TTATCCGTTTCTTATCCTCTCTGCTGTTTAATGTAGAAATATAGCTCTAATTCTTTAGGTAGTGTGAGAATCCACCCCACACTAAAACCACCGTTCTATGCAATCACTGAGCTCGTCCTACAAGTTACTTTTCTTTTATGTAATGATAAATATAGTACATTGCACATCAGTCAATCTCCTAGTTTTTACTTTCACTTACATATTTATGAAATATTGAAAATATGAAACAGTGAAAAATTTTCATATTGAAAATTTCGATTTAAAAGTATTGTATTCTGTATTAAGTATTAATGTATTGTATATAGGTCTCCTAAGTCTAAATAACTAAACCTCACAAAATGGCCTGTGTCTGTGTGAATGTGAACAGGCCGGCTCAAAAACGAAAAGTGGTAAATTTAGATTGAAACTTTGGATTCTGAACTCAAACATTTTCACTATTAACTCAAACCTTCTGCACGACTAAAAATCTTCTGTGTATTCTGTAGTGAGGATCCGATGACACAGGTTTAAAATTTGAAATGATGACATAAAAAAAAAATTCTGAATTTCAAATTCTCATATTCTACAAAATATATCATTATTATATTAAAATAGTCAATATTCTGTAATTTTTATTTAATTTAAGTAATCTAAACGTTACAGTTTGTTTAGTCCTTATAAAATATTCTCATGAAGCTTGTAATTTAAGATTTGTATTTGAAACTTCTCAGTAACTAGAATAAAAATGGAAAAAATCAGAACATAAAACCTCGAGTCTCTAAATTTTAGGTGAAGAATTAACCTGCCAACGTTTCACCAATTCGCACATTAGGATAGAATACAGAAAAACTGCGTTTTTGCAGCCTTTTTTTCTTTTTTTTCTTTTTGCAGCCTTTTTGTTTTCTTTTTGCATATATATGTGATCTTGTTTTTTCTGCCCTGATGATGCCTGAATTGGCGAAACATTGGCAAGTTAACTGTCCACATGTATGTTAGAGGCTCAAGGCTTTATATTTTGGATTTTTCCATTTATATCCTATTACTTTCTCTTTTTACGTTATATATTTATTCAGAGTAAGTTCCTGGTAACCTAAGCCGTGATAAACAAATTTACACTCTTTTATAAAATTTATATCAGCCTTGATTGGTATATTTCGGAGTGCCGAGTAAGAGAACTCCTTATGAACAAAGGTATTGTTCGCGTTAAATGTTGTGTAGATAATACGTAGCGGAAAGATAAGCCATGGCCGCCCAAGTTATATATCACCATGTCACAGTGTGAAGGTTGTGCCAGCGGGTCTCCCCCAAAAGGTCGAACGTTTCTCGAGTGCCACTGTTGGTAGTTAGTGAAGTTCAGGAGCAAGTACGATCATCTGTTCGAGGTTTATTGACCTTGAATGGTCTGGCTGGCTGCCTCGAAACGTATACGTTTCATATTAACCTACTTAATGTTATTAATATAATCAATAAGACAGCTGTAGGTAACTGCTTTTAATGCAAGATATCTGATTTTAGAATAGAAAAGAAAAATCAACTTTATTCTGGCACTACGTTCCTTGAAAATAACAGTACAAACAGAAAAGATGCTAAAGTCTGGCCGACTATATCAGGAGAAATTAAAATAATTACCTCCTTTATAACAATATTTACTATATAGTTATAACAAAATAAAACATATTTAAAACCGATAGTAAAACGAAATATTCGCTAATAAATGGAATGTACAGAAAGGGTAATTACATTAATCATATAAGCAAACATTCTTAACTACCAAAAAAAAAGAATATAAATAAATAAATCACAACTGTTGTTATTTAAAATATGTATAACAACCACTAAACATAATTGTTTAGAAGATATGATAAACAAATAAACATAACAATAACTGTGACCAAAGGCTCTGTATAAAGTAATATGAAATACGTATTCATATTCCTAACACAAAAAAAAAATTATAAATAAAAATAAATCCTATTATTTAATAAAAATTATTTAATCTGATCAAATTCTGAAGAAGAACTAAATAAGCAGAATTTTAAATGTGGATAAGGAGGAGACATGGTAAATTTTAAGAGGGAGAGAATTCCATAAAGTGGTGGAGTTTTGAAATAAGGTAGATCTATGAAAAAGAATATAGAGGTCAGGGGGTCGAGTTCTCGTGGAGAGAGAGTGTTTGGGGGACTTGAATTGGAATAGATTATAGGTATTTTAATTTATAGGTTAGTAAATCGTTGCAATGTTATTCAAATGCCATGTTGAAGTTTTGTTCATTTGTTGAAATATATAAATTGTGTGTTTATCGTTGCCAACTAAGTCATCGATAATTACCGTAATTTAAAAATTCAGGACTTTTTTTTTTAAATTTTGTAGTTGTGAGTTTTGAGTATTTCATTAAAGGTCTTTTTATCCCACATTGTAGTTCTTAGAACTAATTGCATGCCTTTTAAGTATGCCTTAAAGAATTTATTTTGAATATATTTTCATGTACCATAGCGTTTCAAGGTATATATATTATTCACATCTATTATCTCAAAAATTTTGAAAAATTAAATTAAAGTTAAATTGGTAAGATTACATTTCGGAAGTCACTGTTTAAACATAATATGATATAAAAAATTTCATCGAAAATATAAATTTATTTAAACTTCATATCGAAATTTGTTATTAAATTAATTACTAAAAGGTGATTATCTTCATTTTCCGGACCAAAAATACCTAAAAAATGTATGAAAAATGAATTTAATTTTTTAAAGGAATTTCATAAAAAATAATTATTTATTATGAACATAATTTTTATGATAATTACCTAGGATGATTTCTTTACTCCAGAGCCATTAATTTATATGTAAACAAGACAAGTGTGAATTTCAAAGGTGTAATTATATTATTTCGAACTGTATTTGCATTCAATCCTTTCCAGAATTTTTGAGTACTATAGTTTGTTATAATAACTAGATATCTACTAAAGTAAAAATATTCATTTATTAAGTATTTATTTCATAGTGCGTATATGCTTATTAATATATGCGTGAACATTTAATAATTGCAAGGCAATTTACTAATCTCGTATTAATTAATAGTTCCAAAAAAACTGCATCCTTTGCTTTTATTTGGTGTTTTTTTTTTTTTATAATTTTGTATGATAGGGAAATTTTGGAACCTAATTAGTGAAAAATAATGTAAAAAATAAAATTAAATATTATTTGAATAATCACAACTGTTTGAAGGTAACGAATCCAACCTTCTAAATTAACTTTAATGGAAAATAAATAAGTTTTTTTATCAAACTGTGATTTTATTTACTGAATATAAATTTAATTACCCAATTAAGGTATGTAAGTATTATCTCATATGATTCATAATGTTCCTATATTGAGCCCAATTTCAAGAATTGTTGCTCCTTGCTCTCCTTAAAAGTCTGATCGCAGTAATAAGTGTTCTACAACGAATTGAAGCTAGAAAGCCAGAAAGTATATACGAATAACACAAGCTTCAGTGGTCCAAATATATCCCAGGGAATCTTTAAACACTGGAGCGTCTGAAGACTTTTAGCCTTGTGAACTAGATCACTATTTTGGGTTTTATTGTTGTTTACAATCCATCGTACTGAATGAGGGGAAACCGCATTTAGGACACAAAGTTTATCAGGCAAAGGCCTTTAATCTGTGATTGTTTGTAGTGGCTCTACAGAATAATGATGAATGAATGATTATTAATGAGCGGCTGTTTTGATTCTGTATCAAATAAATTTTTCCGATAGTTTATATGTGCGAGTAAATATGACTAGCGTACCAGGTTCTTATTGATTAAACAATTATTAAAAATCTGTGTCTGACTTTGCTTCTTGTACAGCAGGCGTGATGAAGGCTTGAACTTCGGGCCGAAACGTCGGCAAATGTAAAAATAAATAAAATTATTTATTGTTACCATTTTAATTAGACTGATCACTACAACCATCATTCTCTTCAATTATTCACTTCAGCCAACCATAAACCCACGATTAAAAATTAACTTGGAAAACATTTAAACTATTAAGGAGTCTTATTTTATCCTTGAATCGTTGGTAATTGTGAAATTTTACTTTACAAGTCAGTTTTTGAAAATTTCTTTCTTCTGTCAAAAATATAATGTTTTTTTTTTTAATTTTTATTATTGAAATTTACAACTGTATTAAATGATAAATACAACAAGTAAATATGAAACACGTAACATGACATGTACAACATGAAGAGAAACCAAACTACCCATTGGTAGCACTTCAATTATATTTCTATATTAGAAGGTCCCGAGGCCATCTTCTTTTCAGACGTCTCGGAGGGTTACCAGGAACAGAAGAGAAACCAAGTTTGGAGACAAGAGGGTTCGGATGGTTCTTATGGAAGGATAGGTATCTGGATTGAGCTAAATCGGAAACATATGGTACATTAAGGTCGTTATGGATGATTTTATATGTGACAAAGTAGGGAGCATTGAGGATTTTGGATTGTATACGAGAGGATTATGATGGTTTAGTAGAGCCCCAAAGTTCGATATATAATGTTAAGAGGGTTCTTTTTTTAATAATACACAAATTATGTACTTAAAAGATATTTATTTTAAATTATTAAATAGTTTGTGTGTTATTATTAATTTATGTATGGAATTGTTAGTTTGTGTGACCTGGTAAGCTTGACTACTTTGCTGGAGTCTTGGCAGAAAATATTTATCGCTGTATTTTTGTTTATTAGATACAAGTCTTATTGAAAATTAAAATATCATCAGTTTCCATAACTTTTCAAACTCAAGTTTTCACTCTACATATAGATTCTGGCAAGTATTATGAGTAAATAATAATAAAGTTTCATTGAAATGATTACTTCACCTATGTGTATTATATATAATTAATAATATGTATTATTATTATGTATTATATAATAAAATGTATTACTTCATTAGAACATATAGATACACACTTTAAAAAATCAACATTTTTCTCTTACAATAAATTATTAAAAATATTATTTTAAATTGAATTAGATTACCTGGATTTCCTTCGTCGAATGCCTCACAGTCGTTCTCTCTTGGGTCATGAAAATTGTGAACTCTAGAAAAAAAGAAAAAGAACATTCACTTAATTTTTTTTGTTAACCTTTGTCAGCTAAAAATGACTACAATTTCATTATGAACGACTTTTTAAATGTTTAGTTATTAAATTATCACAATTTAAATTTGAATAAATGAGGAATAATTACGTGAACATACTTGTGGAGATGATAGCACTCACTAAATGGTTCTAAGTAAGAAAATTCCGACATCCTCATTATAGAAGCCTTTCAAGGATTATCAGCAATTGAGGAAGAAGCAGGGATGGAAATAAATGGGTTCGGATGAAACTGGAGTTTTATCATGAAGAGATAGGTATCTGGAATTCGATAGATTTGTGAAGTCCCAAAGATCATCTCCGTATATCAATATAGATCTTATAATAGTCGTGTAAATATCCTTTTGTATTATTTGAAATTTTGTGTGGTGGATGTTGGAGCAGACGAATACGCCGAGTTTTTTGTCCTCTCAACTTTTTATGCGCTTCCAGACATTTGTCCATGTGGAGTCCAAGGTAGGAGATTTGTTTAAAGAGAATAAATGGAAAATTATTGAAGGATACATTAGGCCATGAAGTCATAGGTTAAAGACTACTTTGAATTTTTGGATTTCATTAATGTTACTTGACGCTCATCAATACTTTTAGATTGAGAGATTTCCTATCACTTCATCAGCAGGAATCCTTTGCTCCAATATTAACCATATTAAATGTAAAATCGACGATATAAAGTGACACTTCCAGTTGGTCGATTTTATGATGCCGTATCTTCCCAGGCTTGCTCGTTTTTAAGCCAGGCGGTTCACATACACACAATACAAATACTATTTTGTGTGACTTGCTTATTTGTACTCAGCGGATCTTAAAACGTATATTTACCTTGAAAATGTTCACGATTTAATACTTTCTATACTGTATATTACATATATTTATATTTATATATATATATATATATATATATATATATATATATATATATATATATATACATATATGTAAGTGAAAGCAATACAATTGCTGTGAAATGTGGTAGGCAGTGAACACATGGAAATTATATTTATATTGTGGTTATATGATTTTACACCTATTCAACAATTTATTTTGAAATGTATACTGTCGAATTCAAGGGATGTGTATAACATCTACTCCCTTTAATTCGGTTTAATAAAATTAATAGACGATTGTGAGTTTAAATACCCACATGGTCCAATATCATTTATCAAATCCGTGCTCTTTTTTTTGACAATACTATACTAAAAATGGCTTATTTTGTAGAATCAGTCGCGAAATGACATGAAATATAGAGAATTATGTTACTGATGTAGCTAGTTGGCAGACGTTTTTAAAATTATTATTTTTTTTTTTAAACTAAAATATATGTTTATAATAGTGTACCCTAAGATGATCAGTTGGAAGTCTAGTAAATAAAAATTATCCTTTATTTTCCGATATATCTTACTCCAGGTTTGTTGTTAATTAACGCACTGGCGCGCACTGTAGGGATGTGTAAAAGGTTCACTGCTTTCTCTTCTACTCCCAATATAGGCAACCACGATTTATACAATTATCTTTATTTGACCGTGAAAGGTCACGGCAAGTATGTACTCCGCTTACGGAAATAGGATATGGTCGTGACAGTACCAAGTTATCAATGATAAAGTAGACAGAGGAAGTATAATAAAGTCATTGTACGTTATTTTAAAACTTTAAGTCGAGAGCCATATTTCTTTTGTCTTGAAATATTAATGAAAAAATATATAGAGCATAATGAATAAAATGTATTCACGCTCTTTTTTTTTCTTTCAGTTTGTATTACAGATCTTGTAGATCTTTTGCCGCCTTGACAAGCCTACTCTCTCTCTAGCTATCTTGGGGTATTTCTTTCCAGTTATCTGTATGCAGCTCTATTACATCTTTCTTGAGTCGATATATCCATCTGCTTTTTGGCCTTCCATTAGGCCTTTTGCCTACTTTTGAGGCATTCATTGTCGTGTCTACACAAGGCCCTAGGCTTCCAGATGGATTGCTCCGTGCTACATGATCTGCTCATATTAACCTACATGCTTTCATATCATAAGATATTGATTGACCAGTTTCTGTAAACAGCTCTTTATTGGTCTTTCTTCTCCATGTGTTAGTACTCTGATCCCAAATAGCTCCGGTTATCAAGTAGAGGAATTTTCTCTATAAAAAATAAATATGTGATCTATTGCATTTATTGAGGTTTACATAACTGATATAACTATTACTATAAAATGTATAGAGATTATCGCCAACAGGAAATAAATAGAGGAATTCTTTTATAAATATTTGGCGCTGCCTCGGAGCTCAATATATAACCCGCCGTCCTTGGCATTAATGCCTGAGAGCATAACTTCTGTGTAGCAGCCAAAGCCAAAGCCGCTGGCCACTTACCCGGATTTATTTTGCATAATTCCCTTATTGTTTTCTTCCTCGATTTGTACGAATCAATTACAATTTTAAATTACTAATCGCATGTGTACAATACCCTTTGTAATAATTAATGTTCCTTTGTGACACAGTTTCTTGGATGGTGTGACTACATTTCCTCTTGAGATAGACCGCATAGACCAGAATGTAACTTTCACGAATTGCATTATACCTCGCTTCTCCGAAAAGGTCAGATCGTACCGTTCATTTTTGGTTTCCTTAGAAAGTTGTGAATATAAACGCATTTGAAACCTCTTCTCTTTGTGGTTTCGATAAAGTTTAAACCATCATCTTTCTATTTCTTTTGAAATGAAAACCAGGGCTTGTTTCGAATATGCTGAATTCCTTTGTTTGTTTGGTTCACAATGCCATTTTAACCATTTATTATTTATTTCATCCAATTCGAAGTTATCTATATAACTAATTTCGATTAACTTCATCGAAATTAACTGCTGGATTAAATGAACTTACCACCTCGAAGTATGCATGTTTAAGCAATTTTTAGCTATGTAAATTAATTTAGGATTTTAGCAAATAAACCAGCCTTGGTAAAACAAATATTTATTTGCGAATATTATTTATTTTACAATTTTGGAGAAAAAAAATCTAAATTCACAAACATAATAAACATTATAATGTCTATTGAATAGCACTTATTACTGCTTGTAGCATGAATTTCGAAATTCAACGTCTTCCTAGACTCACAAAGAGATTATTAACAAATTTCTGAGATATATTATCTAACTATCTAACGAAAGCTTTTCCCAACTTTCAAGTTTTCGGAATGAAGTTATGGAATCACAAACGAAACTTGAATAGTACCCAAACATTAATTTAATTTTTACTTGATTCTCCTGGAATATGGTAACAACCTCCTATACGTGCCTAACTATACTCTGAGCTCTGTATAGTCCTTTATTTTCATCCTTCAGTATTAAATACAGCAAATGTTCCTTTGGGAATTTCATTTACTTCTGAGCATTAAAGGACATGGCCTGCAAACCTCGGATATGGCAGGAGAAATACTATTCCGAAACATGGTGAGGATGGTGATCCTCATCGGAATACAATATGTGGGGTCCTATCGCATTGAGCATTTCAATTACTTGGCTGTCTAAAAATGAAATCACGAGCATCTTGTGACCTATGACCTGCTCTCTAACTTCATTCCAAGTCTCTCTCTATACAGTTAAGGATCTCATATGAGCTAATTCAAGTCGTTTTCATTTACGTGCAACAGCGTAGACTGTTTATAAAACGGTAGTATAGATCTATTACATAGTTGTTATCATAATTAAAATTGGTTAAGCAAATTCACTTGGAAAATACATTTATTTTAACAATGATAACATGAGGGTAAATGAATTATTAACTACACTTACAGAGGTTAGAGCTCGGTCTAATTACAATGTAATTATGCTCATTATATTAACAATGTTTTAATATATGAGTGTTTTAATTTTAATGAGTGTTTTAATATATGAGTGTTTAACATATATTACTAGTAAAAGTGATACAATAATACAGTTAACAGAATTACTTTACAATCTAGTGTAACCTCCCGTTTTTAATTAGATTTTTATATATCGCCTGGGAATATATTATCACTGACGCAGTTATTGATACGATCGGAGGTAACAGTGCTGCTACAGATCTATTTTCCTGAATCTCTGAACCTCTGAAACCTGAATTTCTATCTTTAAATTCTCACTACAATTTGAATAAGAATCATTGAACAAACTAGGAGGATGTAAAACTACGACTTTGGTAGGTGGATGAATCATGATTTAGCAAATGGTGTCTTAAAGCCAAAAATATACTGTTTTCAAAATAATCCGTAATTCATTCCGAAAACCTTCTAGATGCCATGTCTGCTATGGAATATTTACTATGTTTTCAAGAGGTAACTTTTTAAGCGCAACAGAAAGAGTATATAAATCATAGAAGATTGCACCTACAATAATTACAAAAGTTTCAAAGTTTTCTGGAAAATAATCGAAATTGGACCACTATTTGTAAAGATACAGCCAATTGAATTTTGATATATTATTTTGAATGAAAATTAATTCCTCCCTTTCAAAATTTTCCAAAGGTATACATTAATAATGAAATTTATAATATCGAGGAAAACGCTTTATTTTACCCTCATACATTTATTCAATGCTTTAATTAATTTAAATTTCTTGACGACGTTACGGGCAACTTTCCCCATTTTCAAGTCGAATATTTACTCTATCTATACCTAGGTGAGCCAGCAGCTCACAGTGGGTATTAGGCTGCTGTATTTAAAGGTGACGAAAATGTGTAGTATTTGAGAAAATTTTAAATAATTTTTAATTTTTTGATTGTCCACAGTTGTTTTTGGAATTGACTGTTGACTGAAATGAATAATTTATGAATTTTATAATTTTGAGGAGATAAATTGCAATAATTATATATAAGTATAATTAAATGGATTATATAATAATAATATATAATAAATATTCGACTAGAAAATGGGAAAATTGCCCGAAACGTCAAGAAATTTAAATGAATTAAAGCATCGAATAAATGTATAAGGGTAATATAAAGAGTTTTCCTCGATATTATAAATTTTATTATTAATTCCTCCCTCTCATAATAAATTGCATTTACTCATTTTCATAATATATTGCTATTTGTTCATTGACCAATATACTATAGAATGCAATTATTCTCATGGGCCAATTAGTATAGTTATACTTTGAAAACAATCGTCCTGTTGAATAAAATGAGAGGTTGTGAACTTCTTAAAAAAAAGAAAGAAAATTATGATACCATCCGTGTATAAAATGTTCTGATTTATTAGATTTTGACGATCAATTGCTTCCAAATTTCATATAAAATTTTTAAATGTTATAGAATTAAATTTAAATACAATTAAATTAAATTGTATTTATATCCAAATATAATATTGGCTTAAATTGCTCAGGATTTTTGTAAAACGGACAAAAAATGAATCGGAGAATTTATATTAGTTAATAAAGTTTTAAATATAATTGTTTTTAAAACTGAAATCTTACTTACTGAGTGATGAGTTTACTGAAGTCTTGAGACAAGGTAACGACTGATATGAATTGAATAAAGGAACAAAAAACAACGTTATCTACAATTAGTCATTCTGTCGTAAGTATTGTTATTGACATCACTCTGTAAATGTATGTCTTTATTTACCTTGCCTGCAATCTGTTTTATCCACTGAATTATAAATATTCATTAATAGACCAGTAGGTAAGAAGTTTAATTATAAGAAACAAAATATATACCATATTTAATTTGTGTAAAATGACTGTCAATACATTAATTTAAGTTACGTTTAATATATTAAACGCTTGCAAATTAACCATCCTCTTTCTCAATTGCCGCTATTTTTCCAAATTAGTCAAGTACATTTGGATAATTGGGTTGTAATTATTTTGTTTTTTCGATGAAATGGCTTCTTTGAAAAGTAAATAGCATTAACTATGTTTAGCATTTATGGAATTAGTGTTCATTAAGTACATGCGTAATAGTATAAATAAAGTTGACCCAGGGACTGACCTTCCAACGTCTGCCCCTTTTGTGGTATTCAAAATCGAAATTCATATGTAAAAAAAATGACAAGATTTTTAAATTAAAATTTCTTCAGCTTCTAATTCAATGATAGAGCTGTATGGTGAAAAACAAAGGTGAGTCTCTTTTCAGAATTAGACTTTTACACCGTTAAGTGTCACGTTTCATGTTAATTCGGTTGAGAAAGTCATCATTTTGATTTGATACCTGCTAAATTACTATAAATAGGGCCATTTTTCCAATTGAAAAGTAAATTTAAAAATTACTGCATAAAAATTGTGTAAGCTCAAAAAAAAAATTTAATCATAGTTTTGAACTCATCATTAGATAGACAAGAACTGGTAAAATAGTCATAACAATAAAAAATTCATCAAAATTAATTCATATTGGGTGATTTCGAATGGATTGGTCCTTATTAATAAATATAATAATTACATAGATCATAAATGGATACAAAATTAAACGTATACTGATTTTAGTAATCAGTGGAATGGGCGCACAAATACATCCCATTATTCCGAAGCTCTTACAACATTTAGAACTTAATCATGTGAATATATGTTGGTAATACATAAAATATTATAATAATTAATCGAACCCCACCTAAACATCATGATCTCAATCTCAATGTTAACTATTTAAATTACAAATAGAAGTTTTCTGATTTTGAATTTATTTTTAGCCCTTTTTTTGTGCTTCTCGCGATTTTGATTAATGAAGAAAATAGGAGACATAATACCTACGCAAAGGATATACTTAATATAATACCTATCTATTGTACCGTCCTTTCTCAATTATACTGAATAAATAGTAGTACATTTTTAAATAGATCTGTTCTCTTCTGGAACCGATAGAAATAGAGTAGAATAGACATGCGTATTAAGTATATTAAATACACTTCCATTCGGTTTTTGAAATCTTTACCTTAGAAAAGTGGATAGCAAGAAACGTATGAATAGAGATTAAAAAAAAGAAACTGGCGGAAGTATACGGCTAATACAATCACGAGGATAGAAAATACGTTATAAAAACCATATCTGCTAACAGATTAATTTAATCTATAAAAGTGACTGATATTAGTGAAATATCCGCTGAATATAGAAATAAAAAGAAAGTTGCTAATAAAACTTAATTACATATATCCTTTCTGATTCATAAAGCTAAATGATAGCAAAAATAAAGGTATAAAATAAAGAAATACGGTCACTTTTGGCATGAACAACAGTGAAAACTAGTTATAAAGAATTAATTAATTAATTAATGTTACTTGGGAATAATAGTTATTATAATTTAATAGCTTTTTTCTTCAAAGTATTATTATAGTTATAGTGAAATTTATTGTCTTAAAATCTAATGTGTGAGTGTGGAAGCGAGATGGCCGAGCGGGCTAATGCGTTCGATTCCTGGTGCTCTTGGGCTTTTCACTATGGTTGTAATTCTCCGCCCTCTCACCTAACTCGGTAAAAATATCGTATAGTCGAAAGGGCGAGGTTGGAAAGAAAGTATAAATGTATGTGGGTAACCATGGAACCACCATAATAATAAGTTTTGTTACAATTGTTAATATATAGTATATTTATGACGCATAAATTAGAGAAGTGTAAAATTAAATTACTATTATGGCGGTATCATGGTCAGATAAGTAAATTTACTTTTATATGTTAGTAAATTTAACTATGGATATAATAATACATTGGAAAATAATGCTATTAATTAATAATAACTATTCACTGCTTCTATTCTATTTAATATAAATGACATATAAGAATGACGACCTGACTCTGTCTATCTTAATTGAAAATCGTGATAATGTTCTTAGGAATAGTTCCAACAAGGTTCGCTTAAATTGATCTGCCATAATCCATATATCTGGGTCTATTTATCACTGTTCTTGAACCTATTTATTGAAATATTCGATGGTGGCAAGGCCAATTTCAAATTTTAGTACATTTTTATGACGTTGTTGGTTGTTGAAAAAATATATTCTTGATATATTATTTGGTATATCAATTTATTTAGTAAGGAAGAGACAATGGAAAAAACCCATCTAAGAATGTATGTATTTATTTTAAATTTAATTTAAAAAATAAGGACAAATGTTTCTGACATGCTGTTAGCATCTAATAAGATGGATGGAAGACCATTAACAGTTTTAAATTATTTCCGAAGATGGGTGAGTAACCCAAAACGTAAGACATATGAAAAGAAATACAATTATATTGTAGAGGAAAAATTTCATAATATATATACATAGAAAAATATTATTTTAAGTCGTAAATGCAGAGAGTTGTCATAAAGCATTTTATTCTTGCATGACCTTAGAGAGGTAGGTCCTTTCAAGACAAAAGGACCCTTCTCCAAGCCTCATACACCCTTCACCTCCTCTTCGATCCACTGCAACCCATGCACCTCACTTCAATGTCGTCTTCTTCCTTCAGTTATTAAAACGGTCGTACCATTCTAAGTTATTGTTTATTTAAGGATTAAGTTTATGAAAGGAGGATCTCATTATTAACTTAAATTATTAAATATTCCCTTATTTTTATATTTTAGAGTAGACCACATAAATTAATTTGTATCAATTTACTTTGCCTTTTAGTGAAACAATAGTATTATTTTATTCCATATATTGCGTGCATATTAATTATTTTTTAGATGAACATAGCCAAATTGAATTAATATCCAGAAATTAGTGTTGAAATGTTTTGCCAACTACACCAATTACTTTTTATCAGACGACGAAGAACCCACACGGAGGGTTGTGTGTTTTGGTTGTCTGCTAAAAGGTATGTAACGATTTTTTGAGTGCACCACTGCACAGTGTGATGAGTAAGGGAAAACCCGCGACATCGGCTAAATAATTTTCTTTTACAAAATAGACTTTACAATATCTCAATTTTCTATCTAACTACTCCATTCTAAATGTTTTAATTTTACTATATATTTTCATTTCTTACATAACTTCGTATTTCTTTTTTATGTTTTACATTTTATTCTAAGATTCCCATTGTAACACTTATGTCACCCTTTTTGACTATGCCTACTTCATCATTCCACACTTTGTAACGGTTATTATTATTTATCTCTTAGTTCTTAGTCATTATTCTAACAATTTCATTTTACTTTACATTTATTTATTTTATTTTTCTAATTTATTTTTTATTTTTTATTATTTTTTTTTACCATCACTACTTATGTTTCTCATACCTTGTTATCTGGTTATTTTCTTAGCCCTGATGAAGGCCTGAACTTCAGGTCGAAACGTCGGCGTATGTAAAAGATAAATATTATAATTTATTTTTGCCTTCCTTTTTGACTGACCATCCCAACTATTCTTCTCTTCATTTTTTTTTTTTTTTTCAGTCGAAGTATTCAATATAAACAGTGTAAAACGTAAAGTGTGCCAACTGTAAATATTCTCGGAATCTCCACGAACAACACAACGTATCAAATAAAACAGTTTATCTGGTTTTTGGAGTCATAAAAAAAAAAAAATAGATTTAGACAGATTCAAATTGATGTCGCGAGTTTTCCCTTACTCGTCCCGCTGTGCCCTGAACCGATTTTTAAATTTATAAATTTAAGTTTATGTGTATGTAATATAATTTGTAGTTTGAATTTAGGTTCTACTCAGTTAGACACAATGAATTTTTAGACGACCTTCGTAGAGAGCCTAACAATATGCCTTTGACCAAGCTGCTGTTTTAGTAACATGCTCTACTGATTCTAAAATAAGAAGCTATAATTAACCGACACTGTCACTTAAACGGGTCGCGTGGAAAAATCAATATTTGATAGTTTGGATTTTGAATCACGATTTGAATAAAAATACAGATTTTCTTCACTCGCGATTTGGTTTCCTACAAGCATTGATTGGATCTCCTAGGGAACATATTTTTATCAAACATAATGGATGGTGATAAAAACAATTCTAAGGGTTGAAAAATAGGACTTTGCATATTCACTTTTGAAAAAGTAGCTTGATCTTACCTTGAATATTCCTTCTTATTCAAAATAATGCCCTTGATGTAAAATCTTAATGTATACGTTAGACTAGAGAAAAAAAAAATGTTTTACTCACCTTTACCCTTCGCCGTAAACCTATGATCTCCTATCCTACAGTATTCTTTAATAATACCCCACTTATTCCTGTTGAGCAAATCCGATACCTTGGACAAACGTCTAACTTGGAATGCTCATACCAGACTGAAACGACATGAAACCGCTCTAAACTTCTAGTTAATTACAAAAGACTCATATACGTAACTACAATAAGGTCTATTTGGACATACGGAGTTGATCTTTGGGGCTAAACAAAGCCATCAAATTCCTCTCATATCCAATCCTTATAATCCAAAATCCTTCGTAAAATCTTCAGTGCCTCTTACTTTGTGACATATAAAATCATTCATAACGACCTTAATGTTCCTTATGTTTCTGACCTGGCCCTATCCAGATACCTATCCTTCCATAACAAACTTCAGAACCATCCAAACCCTCTCGTTTCTAATCTTGCTTCCTCCTCGATTCCTGATAACCCTCCGAATGAAAAGAAATTGAAAAGAAGATTTTTAATACAGTTGTAAAT